TTCTCTCTAGTCACACCAAGTCGAGAGTAGAGGAGAGCAGAAGATTATGAGAGGCAGGTAGGTGCACAACTAGGCATGCCTTGGGTGGCCAGAAGTCATGGAGGAATACAGAAAACACATACAAAACAAGACTTGACCAACCAGACTGCAATCCAACGTGAGATCCGTTGTTTTCACTACAAACTACGGCACTGCTCGGAAAGGGGTAATCCTCACCCTCCATCATCAACAGTGTTGAGTCAGATTCCCTTCGCTCTCTTTAAAAGGCGCAAGAAAATGTGTATGCAGTTGCAATCCAGACTAACGTCACGCATTTTTCAGGAGGCAATGGAGTGATGTGTTGCTTTCTTTTCAGTGACGTGGGCACGCTCATTCGCTGATAGTTCCAGCAACGTGGGGGATGCACCAGGCCATGTTCTCCAGGCGAGCCTGTGCACAAACCTCGGGGGCCTTGATCAAGTTCTCCAGTGACCCCTTCAGCTCCAAGGATGGCTGATCTGCCTGGGAGGCCAGGCAGGACCCAGGACCTTGGCAGGTCCCACTCACTTGAGTCCCCTGTGGCAGTGAGCATGCTGGGGGAAGAAAAGGGCTGCTGAGCTTGTTCCCTTGGTCGGTCTTTCTGACAAGGTTCTCCAGCCTTGGAAGGCCCTCGTGGGAAATCCCTGTGGCCCCTGTCCGATGTTCCCACCCCACCTCTGAACACTTGCCCGGCCCTTGGTCTGAGCTGGGCTGTAAACTTAGAGCCCTGGGGCTTATGGTGCTTGCCCCTTTTGAGGACCCCCTGGGTGTGGATGGCACGTGGTCCTCCAGGCAGCAGGATGGCTCTCTCTGGCTGAAGCCTGCAGGAGTTGAGATGTGAGATCCAATCTAGCCGTTCTTCCTCTCGCCTCCCCGGAGCCTGCTGACTTGTGGTTTCCTGGGATCCTCCTTGTGGCCTGGCTGAAAACGGACATCAAACCCCACCAAAGATAGTTTTACTTTAAAGACAAACCTAAGAATAACGTCTGAAAATTGACTTTTGACTGTTACTTGTAAAGTTATTTTCTGCTAGAAGCCAGGCCCCTAGAGATGTTGGCTGAAGTGTCCATGTCCATAGTGTAAGAAGGAGCCCTGGTGGCATAGTGGGTTACTTGCTGGCTAACAACAAGGTCAGCAGTTCTGAAACACCAGCTGCTCCGTGGAAGAAAGCTGAGGCTGTGTGCTTCTGTAAAGACTTCCAGCCTTGCATACCCACAGGGGAAATTCTACTCTGTCCTGTTGGGTTACTGCGAGTCAGAATCAAGCGAACAGCACAGAGTGGTTTTGTGGAGTGTAAGGAGCCCGGCCAACATGGTGGGTTAAGTGGTTAGCTGCAAGGTGAAAGGTCAATGAGCAGTGAAACCCACTAGCGCAGACCCCTTGCATAAAGATACAGCCTTGGAGAGTCTGCGGGGCTGATTTACCCTGCCCCACAGAGTCACCGCGGAACCCTGGTGGTGAAGTGGTCATGCTTTGGGCTGCTAGCCACAAGGCAAACAGTTCAAAAGCACCAGCAAGCTTGGGGAGAAAGATGGGCTTTCTTTGCATTGCAGTAGTGTCAACAGCTACAGTCTCGGACACCCGGAGGGCCAGTTCTCCTCGTCCTGTAGGATTGCTGTTGACGCCTGCAGTGAGGTTGGTGGTGGTGGTGGCGTTGCCGGGGTCACTGTAAGGTCCTTAGGAGTTGGCGTTGACTCGGCAGCAGCGGGTGTGGAGGCAGTGGAGAGTCAAGTGTAGGGTACAATTGGGTCACTTGTTGTTTGACTATGATTATTTTTTTAGATGAAAGTATACACAGCAGGTGATAGACCCCTTCAGCAATTCGCACATGTCCCGCAGCTCAGGGACATTGGTTGTGAGCTTCACCCCTCAACCCTTCCAGGCTTTAGCCAGAGAGCGCACCCCCTGTTGCCCTAGAGGATGCAGAAATCACCTTCCTGAAGCAGGGCCTATACCGGGGCCTATACCATCCCAGCCCCTCAGCGGCTTCCAGGCGGTCAGAAGCTACTGGCTGTGCCCGCCCAGCCTGAGCCTCTGCGCTCCCGGGGCCTTTTGCTCCAGGTTAGGGCTGCCCACGGGAAGACTGCTTCTTTATCGCTGTCCTGGTCTGTTCCTTTTCTCAGTGCTTGGCAAGCACAGGGTCTCAACTCTGAGGGTGATGAGTGAGCGCTTGAGTCAGCGAATGGCTAGGACTTTCAAACTGGGTTTGTTGTGGGGAACCGTGTGCGTCCATGGTACTAGCTTGGCCTCGCTGGCGGTCTCCTGGCGGTGATAGACGGCCCCCCACAAGTGTGCGTGCGTGTCAGGTCAATGCTGAGTGCCAACTCGGAGAAAGGACCCTTTTCTGAAGGCAGCCACTGGTGGACTGGCTTCTAGATGATTTTTAAGACTCTAGGGTAAACTCTGGAGGCCAGAACCCAAGGAGGGTAGTGGGCAGGGGTGCAGGTAGACAGTGTCTCCAGCCTCAGATGTAGGCACAAGGCCGTGCCCGTGCAGGGGGCAGCCCCGGAGCCACTCAGTGCTCTGTCTGGAGTCTCGGGCCAGCACCGACTTATGCGGGGGCTCTGGTAAACCAGCTGTACACGAAGCCTTTGCGAAGCCATTGCTTGAGACAGGAACTCCGAGGGAAAGAGTGTCAGAATAAGCATGTGGTAGCACCGTGGTGGCTGCTGACTGAGGCGAGAGTGGAAGGTATCAGGACCAGGATGCATCTGATAGACCCCTTCAGCAATCCAGCCTGGAGCTGCCCCCGCCCTGCTGCTCACGCCTGCTCAGCTCGCTGTTAGTGTGAGCTGTGGTGTGGGGTCAGCGAGTCCTCCACCTCCATTTCCTGCATGTGAAGTGGCCTGATGTTAATTGATACTTCAGAGGGCTGTGATGGCCTCAGGAGATGACATAGGAACACACCCTTGTTGGCGCCATAAGCCGCTCTTTGAAGTGGCCACTGCCCTGCATGGGTGACCTCAGCTGTCTCACCCAGGCCGGACTGGCAGCATCCTAAGATGCAGCGTCAAACCAGGCCTGGTGTGAGGCAGCCAGGCACGCTTCAGAGCAGTGAATGAGAGCCTGCAGTGAGTTGCGAATCCCCCTGCAGCAGCAGGGACAGAAGAGAGCTGCGAATCCCCCTGCAGCGGCAGGGGAAAGAGGATTGAGGACTCATGCATTATTTTTATCTTTGAGTATCTTGGCTTCAGGTTCCTCTCTGACCTGCCTGCTCCCTGGCTCTGTTCTCCAGAGCGGCCTCTCCCTGGTCATCTCCCCCTGCCTCGGCTCCCCAACAGTAGGGTGAGGGCAAATCCTCTCTGATGCATTGCTCACCGTCAGGAGTGAGTAGCATCTGCACTCAGAATGGAGCCCACCTCCCTGAAGGGCGCGGGGCGCAGGGAGCTCACAGAGGAGGGAAGACAGCATCAGTGTGCACGCTGGAATGCCAGTTTCCAAGTGCGCACACTGGTCTGAGCCGCTGGAATGGTCATGGGTGGAATGATGCCCCCAACTGTCTTGCGTTGTAAACCCTAACTCCCGTACGCTTGTGATCCCGCTTGAGAATGCGCTGTCTTCATTATGCTCACGTGGTGGGGCCAGAGCAAGATGCCTGTGTGATTCTAGTCTTTTGCCACATAAACGAGATTAGACAGGAGTGGAGGCAAGGACCAGGCTCCATGAAGACAGGAGTCGAACAGACCCTCGTAAGTTGAGGCCGCTGCTTCAGAGCTGACACAGAGAGAATGCCTTTCTCTGAGCCAGGACCCGAGACCTAAACTGTGAGAGAATGCATTTCTCCCACCGCACTAGATAACTAAGGCAAGAATCAGAGCGTAGCCCGCGCTCTAGCTCTGAGGGTCCCAGGAAGGAGTACATGCGAGATCACAGGACATTGAGGCAGGGCCTCTACTGAGGGCCAGAGACAGCGGTTGGTCCAAGAGGCAGAAGGAAGTCTGGACCAAGAAAGAGGACAGCCAGCTGAGAGAGCTCAGGGCGCGTAGACCAGCCGAGGGGGTGGTAGGAGGGACAGGCAGAAGAGGAGCCAGGATCAACCCATGGCTAATGCCTCCCAGGATGCCTGCAAGCTACAAGCGCTCTAGGATCTGCACCCAACAGTGGCAGGGAAAGCTACCCAGCGGCACTGAGTGAGAAAGGCCTGGCAGTCAGTTCCTGTTGAGAGCTTACAGCCAAGAGAACCCTGTGCGGCAGATCTTCGTCACACATGAGGTTGCCGTGGGTGCGAGCTGGCTGTGTGGCTTGGTTTGGTTTCCGATGCCGGTGCCTGCCTCCTGGTTGCTGGAGGTGGGTCCTGCCCTGTGTGGCTGTAATGCTTCTGATCAACCAGACACGCCCAGGGGTGCAGGGAGGATCCGCTGTGACGTCGGACCCAAGACACGTGGCTCCAGCTTGTTCTATGACTTGTTAGCTCTATGCCCATCCGTTCATGTCTTGACCCCTCTGAGGCCTCAGTTCCTTCTTTTTTGCAGGCGGAGGGAATAAAGAAACAAAACCAGACCCACTGCCGTGAAGTTCATTCTGACGCACAACGACCCGATAGAGCAGAGTCGAATGGCCCCTAAGGCTTCTTCCTGAGACGCCCAGTCTGTACAGGAGCCAAGACTTTGTCTCTTTCTCTCAGAGCAGCTGGTGCTTAACCCACAGCACCACCAGGGCTCCTTTGGTAAATGGCCAACCAGGAAAGCTTGTGTGATTTGTACAGATGTTAAGTGACGCAGTGATGTCTTCTGGTCACCCTGGGCTGGGTGAGATGCAGCTGAGCACGTGGCTGGGGAGGCACTGGGGAGCCACTAAGCCACAGGGCTTAGTTCTGTCTTAGATCCTCCTCTGGGGACAGAGTTGGGATGAGACCCCCCCTCTCTGTGACATCCCCCTGTGTCTCCTGACCGTACCCGCCACAAACAGGGAAGGTTTTCACTTTGGACCCGCTTCGTCCGTCCGAAAGCTCTCCATTGAATGACTGTACCTTCTCTTCTCAGCATCCAGCGAGCGGCCCTGGTGGTGCTGGAGAATTACTACAGAGACTTCACCATCTATAACCCCAACCTCCTCACGGCCTCCAAATTCCGAGCAGCCAAGCACATGGCCGGCCTCAAAGTCTACAATGTAGACGGTAGGTGCGGCAAACAGTCTCCGCCGTGGGTGCAGGAAGGACCTGGGCATGGTTTAGATGCGGTCACTTCGCTCCAACCTCGGGAGTGCACCGGTCCCCCTCCTTCCCGGAGCTTGTCTACACGGTGCATTCTCGTTTCCCAACAAGTGTGGTTACAGGAGCACATTTTCAGAGGAGGTTGACTTAGACGGTCTGCCTGTATGGGAGGGTCCCTC